GTTTGCCTTTTTCACCAGCACTGGGTTGGCTACCCAGCTCGGGTAATGAACTTCCCTTATGAAGTCTGTTGCGAGGAGCTTTTCGACCTCCTCGTCGACCGCCCTCCAACGCTCTTGAGCTAAGTTGCGTTTCTTCTGTCTAACGGTTCTGACTATAGGGTCAGTATTAAGTTTGTGAATTATAAGGCTGGGGTCAATACCGGGCATGTCGGCTGCGGACCAGGCAAAAATATCTAAATTTTGAAGTAAAAAACTCACCAGTTTAGTTCGTAGTGGTTCCTTGACGGCGCAATTGATGGTGCGCAATCCGGCGGGTCCTAGCTGTCAAAGATCTTGCCTCAGGCTAGAGCAGAAGGTGCCTGAAATGAAGGGGAAAGAGAGTAATCTCTGGGGAAGAACCCAGTGAGTATGCTCCGAAGCTCAAGTTAGTATTTCTTCAAAGGCAAGATAAAACCAGATGGCGCAAAGTTTACATACCTTGTTCTTGGGGGGTAGAGAGCCTTTTATAACCACTTCGCGCACTCACTCCTAAGCTTCTATCAGGTCGGGTATGATTACTTCTGTGCTTCTGCCAGTTCGGGTGTCATCACCTCTGCTGGGGCAGAACCGCCACTGCTCTTATTGTCGGAGCCGTCTCTGTAACTGGAGATGGTGGTGGCAGGTGGCCGTTGAAGTGCAGCTGTCAAGCGTCAGATCCCAAGTCAGTCAGGTGTGCCACCCCTGGATACGGACTCCTTCGGTGTCAGGTACGGTGCGGTTTGTTTAGTTCGGCGTGGTGTGCGAGGTTAAGTCTTGAGTTTGGATAGATGTGTGGCCCGAACTGCCATGGGCTGGGTCAGTTCGGGTTGTTTCGTAAGGCTCGAGGCCTAAGGAAGAGCCCGGGCTCCTTGCGGGGAGTTTGGGCTCTTTGTGGGGAGTTCGGGCTCCTTGTAGGGAGTTCGGGCCGCTGGTTCCTCCCTTTGGAGCTCGCGCCTTGGGCATGCTGTTGTGCCGAGCTGTTGCCTTTTCCACGTGTTGAGTGGTTACGAGGTTGGGCCAAATCTTCCTTCATCACATTCCTCCATCCACTGGAAGTCCTTTGGCTGTTTGAGCGCTTTGAAAAAGGGAGGCACCGGTCCGTGGATTTGGACATAAACTTGCTGATGGCGACTATTCTCCTGGTGAGCCATTGCACTTCTTTGTGGGTCTGGGGGGATGGCATGTCAATGATGGCTTTTATCTTCTTTGGATTTGCTTTGATTCCTCTCTGTGTTATCATGAATCCCAAAAACTTGCCGAATCCAACCCTGAAGGCGCACTTGGTCGCCTAGCAGGGAACCAACATGGACCGTCTTTTTGGGGTCTTATTCAACCAATGGGACCTGGACGAGGTCTTCCATAGGTTGGCCGCGGTGTGCCATTACCTCGTCGCATAGGTCATATGCTTCTGCCACCAATGTCTCGATCACTGGACATGGTCCTCGGCAGGATAACTGATAGCAATGTTGCATTGTTTTCTGATCTGCGCGCACCACCCCTATGCCATACTTGGTTGGAAATTTCATGGCGAGGTGATATGTTGAGACTACTACCTGCAGGGCATTGAGGGTCGAACTGCTGAGGATCACGTTGTAAGAGGAGGGGCAGCGTACCACGATGAAATCTACCATGGCCGTCATAGTTACATCGCCGTCCCCGATCAAGAAAGAAAGAGTTATCCTCCCAGTGGGCTGGAGGGATTCTCCTAAAAATCCCATCAAGGGAGTGATAATTGGTGCAAGCCAATCTCTGGCGATACCGAGCTTTTCGAATGCATCTTCAAACAACACGTCAGCAGAAGTGTAGCTCGCAATTATCACTTTGGCGGTGATGACCAAGGCATCGTTGTGCGGTGTCTGGACTCCTCGGAGGTCATCGCCAGTGAACGTAATAGATGTGTCGTGCCTCCTCCTGTGACCTCGGTTGTCGATCTTGCACAGCCGAGCATATCTCTTCCCTCCCGAGCTGCTTTCCCCTTCGGAGGCGCTTCTTCCCGATATCACATGGATGACGCCGGCTGGGGGGCCACGGTGCGGAGGCTGCTGAGCTTCGTCCACTCTTCTTTCCTCTTGGGCTGACTTCTCTGTTCTGTTTATGAAGCCGCTGAGATAACCACACCAAATTAGATCTTCAATATGGTTGAGTAGGTTAAAACAATTCTCTGTATCACGGTCGTAGTCCTTGTGAAACTCGTAGTATGTGTCTCGGTTCCTCTTGTTGCTTTGCGACTTCATCTTCTCGGTCCACCTGACATAGTTGCGATTGTGGATTTGCATCAAGACTTCAGACTGTGGAACATTAAGCGGCGTGAAATTCCGATAGGTCAGCGGAGGGGTGTGAGGCCTGTGGTTGGTCCAACGATCTTGCATGTTGGGATCCCTGTTTGCTCTCTCCGACTTGCACTCGTCGTTCTCTTTTCTTTTCCTGTTGGGCTTTTCATCCTCGTTTCTATGCTGCGCCTGGGCCTCTATAGTGTTGATATACTTCTATGCGTGGCTCATTAGCGCAACCAACGTTTGAGGAGGATTCTTGGAGCTGGAGAAGTTGAACGGGGAAGGGCGAAGTCTGTGTTGTATGGCCGTCACCACGACTGATTGATTTAAGTTCCTGACTTGAAGTGCTTCTTTGTTAAATCTCGTCAGGTAGTCCCTAAGGGACTCCGCCTTCCTCTGTCGGACTTGCATGAGGCTGGCCGAGGTTTTCCGATGCTTCTGACTTGTTGTGAACTGTGCCAGGAACTGGGTCTCCGGTTGTGCCCATGACGCTATAGACCTCAATGGCAGGGAGGAGTACCATGCCATGGACAGGCCTTGCAATGTGGTTACAAGGGCTTTGCACATCAGTCTTGGAGCGTTGTGATATGGTTGAAAGGGTTGGAGTTTCCATCGTACTTGTCGAGTTGGGGGCTCGTTGTCTGGCAGGGGGTACCTCATCCACGATGTCCTGGACGAAGGGTGACTCCTTGGTGATATGTGCGGCGGCCTGCACAGGTTGATCCGCGGCGGGGATTGCTCTCTTAGGGGTGGAGGTATGCTCTAACTCTTCTAGATGTTGTCGCAACTCCTTAATCTTAGCATCTCTATTGCCCAGGGCTGCAGTGTGTACGACCTCTCTTTTGGGTCGTGTGGGGTGATCTATGACAGAACTTGACTCAACGACGGAGACCACAAAGGGCGGCGTCCTTTTGCCAAGCCTTTCTTGGGCAGGGATGCGCATTGACTGGTGTGTCTGGCTATGGCGGTCTCGTCCGCGGGAATGGGTTGTGGCGGTGGGCCTTCGGGTCGTGTCCTGCCTCATATGCTTAGACCGTTCTCCCCTTACGTCTGTCCAGTGCGCTTTGGGGTCCTTGGTCCGAGGGTCGTCCTTCGTGCGCGTCGGGGCGTGAGGGGCAGCCCAGTTGAGCGGTGTAGTAGACCCTAGTTTCTGCATGAATTCGAAGATCCTGTCAACCTTTTCCTGCATGGCCCGGAACTGCACTTGATCTACCGCGACTGAAGGTTTGCGGGACTTCTTGGTGCGGGGAGTGTCGGTTCTCCTGAGTCAGGGAATGGTAAGTTGATCGCTCAGGCTGGTTTTTAGGCATCTTGATTGCTTCCTTAATTGCGCGGCGAGGATAGAGATTTTCGGGAAAGGCTTTTTGTGTCATTCCCACATACGGCGCCAATCTGATGCTACTCAATCTGAGGTAGTGCACGAACCGAGGAAGGTGATCGGATAGTCCTTGTTCACAGGGCGAGGCCGAGCTATAAGGACAAGGCCACGCTTCAAGATCAATGATCAAGGAAACAGAAGTCAGAGATCCAAGGAGTTATCCCCGGGTAAGAACTCCGACGCTCGAGTCAGTAGGTGGCAGAAGGATGGTCGGGCCGAGCTATAAGGATGTCGGTCCAAACTAAGTAGTTGTGTAGGTCTCAGAAGTTCGATCCCTTACCTTGAGCATGGAATACCTTTTTATAGCCAACGATCCGTGTCTTAGTTGAATTGGGCTTCTAGGGTTGCCGGGATCGGGTTAGCCGCCGAGGTATTCGGGATAGAGTCCCATTCCCTTATGAAGTCATCTTCCTTATTCCTCTTTATCCGTGGTTGTGGTCATCCACGTGACGTGTAGTTGATGTTGCTAAAAGGAAAAGATGGGGAGCCACCACAATAGCGTAGCTCAGCCGGGCTATGCCGACGTGGTTGAGCTAGCCCAACGTGGTCGGGCTACGCCGACGTGGCCGACTTAGGAAGATGTGGCAGGGCGATAGTTGGGAGGCCACGTTTCTCGCAGGACCAGCTCAGCCATGACCCGATCAATTTTAATAATCAATTTTATCAAATTCGATCAGACTTGGTCGATTTTCTAGTATTTCCGATTGACTTTGGTTTAGTAATTTTCTAACTCGACCAAGTTAAGTTAGTTTCAATTTGGTCATTTGTAAACTAACCAAAATTGAACCAACCCGACCATAGATATATTAATATTTTATATTTTAAATATAATTTTTTAATACAGGAAAGTGGAAAAATTCCCTTATTTCTTACTCTTAAAATATTTTATATCATAAATTTATTTTTAAATTATTTTTTAATAATATCATTATAATTTATTAAATTTAAATTTAATTTTTATGTTTAAATCTTTTGAACAAACAAACCAAACTGAAAATAAACCCAAACTAATACAACTTGTGTTAGCAGGTTTTCACTAATGGTCAATTTGTTTCTGGTGACAAACTCTCAATCTAACCAGGTCGATTTTATTGGCGAAACAACTTGCAACCGAACTGAACCAATCCTTGAACACTTCTAACTTAAGCTAAATTAATAGTCTAATATCTAATAAATAACAATAGTTTAATCTCTAATAATTTCTGAAAATTTATAGCAAAAATACACAATTATTGAAAATAAAATTATAATAAAAATACAATAGATATCTGATAAAAATACAATAAATACTGAAAATATATTAAATTAGTCAATAAATAGTGTAAACTGAAATAATCGGTTAATCTCCAATAAGTATTAATCAATAAATTATAAAAAATACATAATTACTAAAAATAAATTTTGAACAAAAATACAATAAATTAAATTTCAAAAGTTAACTAATAGTTGTTTAATCTCCAATAATTATTAACAATTTATTGTTAAATAACAAAACAAAAATATATTTATAAATAATTAATGAAAAATATTTAATAAAAAATACAATAAATAATTACTGAAAATAAAATAAATATTAACTTTATTATATATATATATATATATAAATATATAATGTTTGTACACTATTACTGTAAAATTATTACTAATAAATAATATTTTTTTTGAAATTTAATTTCTATAGTTATTAATTGATTTAAGTGAAATTATTTGTTTACAACATTATTTAGTTATTTAAATAATATTTTTATTTAAAATTGTAAAATATTAATTATTTATTGAATTTAATAATCTATAAAACCTTAATTAGTACTATTATTACATAATTGATCATTAATTTTATAAAATATTAAATTATTATTAATATCAATATTATAGAATATTTTATTTTTTCTAGTTTTAATATTTTTTATAAATTTAGTACATAATTTCGTTATTTTAACTATTTAAAATTTATTCATGTTAAATATTTCATATTTAAATGTTTAGCTAATATGTAAAGTATTTAAAAAAAATCAATATTTGAATTTCATTTATTTTAATGTTAATACATAATATTAAATATTTTGTAATATAATTATTTGGGTATTTTTTAATGTATTGTTATTTAAGATGTTTAGTTGTTGAAATATTTAAATAATGTTTTATGCTTTAATGTTAAGTTTTTTATTATTTGGGCAACATTTAAATTGACTAATTCGTAAAATTATAATTTCTATTTTAACTTCACAATTTCATGATGAATTTTATAAAAATATAGAATTAGTAATAATATGAGTATTATTAAATTTATTATAATAATTTTTGTGTTTTGAATAAATATTTTAAAGCTATTATATAATTTCGTTATAATATTTAAATAATTCTGAAATTTTTTAATTGACACTTTCCTTAGATTGATATAGATAAAAAGTGGGGGGAGGATAAATTGAACATTGATAGATACCTGATGTTAACTCTAATTTAACATTGATCCTTCATGCATAAAAAAGAAACTGATAATATAATAACCCCCCAAAAGGACCCAATTTCCCCGTAGGTACCCAATCTAGTACCCGAATTTTCAAAATACAACAATTTAATACCTACCGTTAGTGGACGGTATAAAGCCAAATTCTCAAAAGTCCAAACCATGACGCTCGGCCGTTTAGCGTCTATGACTCCATACCTGAAACTTTGGTTCAGACAAAAACCTTCTTAAATCTAATCTGAGTATGTATCAAGTTGTTTTCTCCTTTGAGCAGGATTGTTGACAGAAGCTTAAAATTTCTTTTGTTGACGTTTAGCGGAAGTGTTTTTTTGCGATTATTTTTAATTAAATGTATGGATGGGAGAAAAGCCATGGCATTGTCTGGCTTTGCATCTTATTACATGCAGCAGCGAGGGGTTGCTGGATCAGGGCCGGGAGCACAGACTGGGTTACATGGACCACCGGGCATTCGCCCGCTAACTCGTCCTACTATGCCTCCTGGTGTTAACGTGAGTGTACCATCTGGAGCTCTAGCAACAACTACTGCAACCAAATCTACTCCATGAATGATGTATACACAAAAACAGAGGAGGTTCGACCAGTTTTTGCTTCGGGCCGTTCGCCTCCGAGCAGATATAACCTTGCGGGGAGTTTACAGGCTCACGAGAGCAAGGTGAGATGCAGGATTGAGTTTCTTCAACCGGTGAGATCTATATGGCCGTTGCGTCGATCTTTCCTGTCTGAATGCTGAAGCTATAAAGGATAGGGCCGATGTGATGAGAGCTTGAAAATAGTGGAATACTAAGGGGGATTGATGGGGAGTAGAATGGGGTGGTTGGGTATCGATTGGGTTTGTGCCAAAAGGGGTTAGCCGAATGAGAGTAACAAAGGAGTTTCACCGCTGCAACTCCTCTATTTCTTGTCGGAAACGGTGATGAATAGAAAAGAAAGAAATAGGAAGAGAACGATGAAAGTGAAGAGGGAATGAGAGATATGTGAGAATAGAGAGAGGAGAAAAAAAAGGAAGGAAGAATAATGGCCATGGGGAGAGCTATGCACCACCGTTGTTCGAGAGCTTGAAGAGGATGAATAGTGGCGGTGAACAGTAGTTTGGGTATCGGTTGGGTTTGTGCCAAAAGGGGTTAGCCAAATGAGAGTAACAGAGGAGTTTCACCGCTGCAACTCCTCTGTTTCTTGTCGGAAATGGTGATGAATAGCAGAGAAAGAAAAAGGAAGAGAACGATGAAAGTG